TATATACCGGGCTAATTGGGCCGGCGCGGCCTGGTAGGGCCCTATTTGTGGTCGAACCTAACCTAGCTGTCGCTGGCCCATGGCACCAATTTTTTTTTTGTTGCAAACCATTGATTTTTTTTTTGCAAACCATTGTAGTTTGCATGTAATGACTGAGTGGAGTAAAAGGCCTAAAGTGAATGGAAGTGAATCAATCACTCTCATGTCTCGACAGAGTGAACCACTAGCCTTAACATGATACAAACTAATCCGTCACTATCACGTGTCGTCCGAGTGGACTAACAGGCTAATAGCACGATAACAAAGTCAACCGATCACTCTCATGTCTCCTCTGAGTAGCTAGACTAGTGCTCGTAGGACGACAAGTACTGAACCTACATTCTCGCGGCTCGTTTGATCAGTGGACTGATAGAACATTAACCTAACATGATAGGAAGTGAACTGATCACTCTTATGTGTCATCCGAGTGCACTTATAGGTTGAACCGATCACTCTATCCACGTGTTTTTATGTGTGAATCTGAGTTTCTTTATTTTAAGGTCCGGCTTTATATTACAAATCAGTACCGGAAGATACAAAAAAATCAATTACAAAATAAATGGTTTGAAAAAAAGGTTTTCAAGAGGGACTTCAATTGCAAACCATTGTAGTTTGCACGTACTGACTGAGTGGAGTAAAAGGCCTAAAGTGAATGGAAGTGAATCAATCACTCTCATGTCTCGACAGAGTGAACCACTAGCCTTAACATGATACAAACTAATCCGTCACTATCACGTGTCGTCCGAGTGGACTAACAGGCTAATAGCACGATAACAAAGTCAACCGATCACTCTCATGTCTCCTCTGAGTAGCTAGACTAGTGCTCGTAGGACGACAAGTACTAAACCTACATTCTCGCGGCTCGTTTGATCAGTGGACTGATAGACCGTTAACCTAACATGATAGGAAGTGAACCGATCACTCTTATGTGTCATCCGAGTGCCCTTATAGGTTGAACCGATCACTCTATCCACGTGTTTTTTATGTGTGAATCCGAGTTTCTTTATTTTAAGGTCCGGCTTTATATTACAAATCAGTACTGGAAGATACAAAAAAAAATCAATTACAAAATAAATGGTTTGAAAAAAAAGGTTTTCAAGAGGGACTTCAATTGCAAAATGGATGGTTTGAAAAAAAAATTTGGTGCTAAGGGCCAGCTATGGCTAGGTCAAGCTCGACCTCCAAGGGAGCCCAACCAGGCCACGCCGGCCCAATTAGCACAGGTAACAGACGTTTAAGAGCATAGGCAGTGTAGTACAGGTGTTCGAACCGGCTAGTTTGTCTGCGCTTTTAAGCTGTGCTTTTGATTGATATGCAAGTGAGGTGGGACTAAACCAGGCATGTAGCTGACTTCCTTCTCCACCTCTCTCGCACTCCCCTCTATTTTCATTCTGGGCCACAGCCCACTACCTGGCCCAGCAAACCAACCGCAGCCCTCAGCAACAACAGGACAGCCCCGCAACAACAGGCGACGTGGCCCAACGCCCTGTGCCCGCGCCCCTGTCGTTGACCTGTAGGGCCCGCGTGTCAGCGGCTCCACGCACCATGTCGCCTCCTTCCCTAGAGATGGACACAGAGCGGCAACTTCTCCCCAACTCCCGGCGATATGCCTCTGGGCCAAAGCCCACTACCCCTCCCCTCCATCGAACGTTCCCCGCAGCGCCGCATCAACCGGGCGTAGCCACCGCCGCCCGATCCCCTCGATTGTGGCCCCCGAGGTTCCCCGTGCCCGCCCCTATAAACAGTATGCCCAGAGCACCGCGCCGCCACCTTAGAACCCTAAAGGGGCCGCTCGGAGCCGTAGCCTTAGCCCTAGCCCTAGCCCGCCGCCGGCCGGAGCTCGACGCGCCGCCGCCGCTGATCTCCGCCTTCACCGCGTCGCCGGCCACATCCACGCCGTCTAGAGATGAATCCAGGAAAATCATCGGCTGAGAAGAAGATGAAGACGGGAAAATCCACGGCTCTGAAGAAGAGCGCCGAAAGGTGCTTGGCCCCTGACTGCGTGAACTGCGTGAACGGAGTCTCTCCAGGCCTCTCCCCGAGAGGGAGAGACGGCTTCAGCTGCTGCAACTGCTGGAACTGGAATCGCGGTCGTCGCAATGCTTGCATGAACGGAGGATGTGATCTTCCTATCAAAAGGCCTAGGTCACCCAACGAGGTATGTCTGTGGAACGATGAATTTTTAGAGATCCGTTTGTAGTTGAATTGGAAACACCTATGCCTGTTTGTTTCTATGCAATCGAGTCCATAGCTCATGCATGCTCTTTTATATGATCCATTATATTTCAGGTGTGCAATCATGAATTCTGCCCTGACGACGGCCGATGCAATAAGTATTTGTGGCGCAACTGCAAGAACAATGTCTCTCCGTGCCTAAATCCTATCGGTGGCATCGACGACCTGTTGGCGTGGTGCTGCAACTGCTGGAGCCATGAGATCCGTAGATACTTGAATGGGTGTCAGGACTGGAGTGATGAGGAGGACGTGTCAGACCACCAGGTATCTTCTTGCACGAAAAAGGATTGATCAATAATTTCGTGGAAGCAGGAAAAAGGCTAAATTTATTATACACTGAATTCCACAGCAGGGGACAAAACCGTTGTTTTACATCCATTTTATCCATGTTGTGAACTGCTCAGTATAACTGTTCTACTGATATAATGCATGGTTGATGTGTTATTCTGTTCTAATTCAGTGCACGTTTGGTTTTTCAGATTGTCAAGAACTGGGACACAAACAAACCATGGCTCCCCAAAAAGAGAGTAGATGAGGTAAACCTGTGAGCTTAATGAAGTTGACTTTGTGATTATGTGTAATGCTCATTTTGTTGGTCGTGTAATGCTCTGGTTCTAGGTTGTAAGTGAAGCAGAGAAAGTGAAAGCTTGGTTGGAGGAGAAGGAAAACCTGCAGAAAAAGTATACCTTTCGAGTCAGCTTGCTTTTTTTATTGTCTTGTAAAAGGTGGCTAACTCCCGTTGAAATTTTTGCAGTACCCCTATCTATAGCCCACCAGTTTTCACATCTGAAGAAGTTTATGAGAAAGTTCTGGACTTGCAAGATAAGGTTAGTAATTTGGTAGAGCGCCCTATAAAAAGTTATGCATACTACTCATGGTAGTAAGTATAATGTGTGCTCTTTCATTGTGCAGGTCTCAAGTGTCAATAGGATTCCAAAACCAAAACCCAAGGTTGAGAAGAAAACAGCAAAGGAGGAAGAACCTGCTAGAAAGGAGAAAACCACCTCTTCGGAATCTGCACCCAACGAGGGTGAATACACCGAAACGTCTCAGGAATCTAAGAGGATCAGTCTGCATCAGCCAACACTAGCTATTCAGAACCTGAATCTCATGACGAGTTGTGAGTACTAGAATCCATAGAAACAGGTCGGAAAGACGCATTACGCATATACTACAAGAAGGCAGTTTGAGGATAAATTTTGGTTGCTGAAATTTTCCCAGATTTTATTTGACGACCAAAAGATGAGGCTACGTAGGGTGTCGAGGAACATTATATGTTGTAGAGCCAAAAAGATTTCATCGGTAGTTTCTGATCATGGTGTAAGTTATTCGCCTCAAAGGCGTAGTTCAGGATCTAGAATCGCATTGTTGTACTGAACTCATTTGATTTTTTTTTAATGAGGAATGCTATATATAGATTTTACGCCAATAGAGCATTGTTGTACTGATTTTGATTCTTCTTTAAATGAGGAATACTATATAGATTTTTACGTCAATACTTGCTATGTAATGATATATGATCAGATGTATTTCCGTCGGTGGAGGAATAGAGTTTAATGATAATAACAGCCTCATAGGCATAGATTCAAACTCACGACCTTAAAAGCCCGAACAGTGCAAGGCTCCTCTGCCTGCTGACAAATGTTTTATATTCTTGCGATTGCTGTAGCAAGTAGGCAAACAGGATAGACACTGCGAGTACACCACCATTAGGCTACCACCAGCGACGGTTATTCTTGCCGTTGCAAGTACATCAACCGCTCAGGAACTTGTGATTGTAAAACAAACTGAGTAGACACTGCAAGTATATCAACATTAGGCTATCCGCAGGGGCGAATCCAGGATATCATGTCATTGGGGTCAAGGACTAAGCATCGGGGTCAAACACATGTTGATTTTCTATTTGAAAGAGTAATTTGCAGGTGGATTAAAGAACTTTAAGTGTATTTCTGGCAAGTTACCGGGGTCAGCTGACCCCGATGGATACACATAGATTCGCCCCTGGCTATCCGCAACGGTTATGCTTGCGGTCTGAGCTTTGCAGCCAGTACACTTGTGATTGTAAAACAAATAGAATAGGCACTGCGAGTACATCGACATTAGGCTGTCAGCGACGGTTATGCTTGCGGTCTGCCTCTAGCTTTGCGAGTACAGAAAAAAATCTCTGAGTATCAAGTCCGGTGGTGCAAGAAGTAGGTGCAAATAATCACATGCTCTTCTTGCATTTTAACTTCCTTCCTGTCAAGGCAACACAGCTATCTTCAACTTCAATGTTACTTGGATTCAAGCCAAGCAAAATGCTAGATCATAGTACGAACCAACAACAACAACAAAGTCTTTAAGTTCCAAACAAGTAGGGGTAGACTAATCATAGTACGAACCAATGATTAAAAAAAATCAAATGACAAACAAGACTACACTGTTAAAGTTCAATGTTTTCCTTAGTCTACCTGAATGAGTAGGTACTATGTGGTCAAGCCTTTTTTAAAGAGTAAAATTCATGAGCAGCCCCTAAAATTTCACAGTGGTATCATCCGGGGTACCCATTTTGATACTTGGGTCTCCACACTTGTCCCAAGCGCTAGCATTGGACCAAGCATGGTATGTTGACTGTGTGTCGACATAGACTTGACATGTGGACCCAACATGCCACATCAACACATAGTCAGCACGCCATGTCACTGCATGAGCGGGTCACAGCCTGTTTGGACCAGTGCAACAAAATATCAAAATTTAAGAGTTGGAGACCTAGATGATACCACCATACAAGTTCAGAGACTTAACATTAAAATTCGAGAGTTGGGACTCATGACACCATTTGTGCAAGTTTAGAAACCGCTCATACCTTTTTAAAATGAGTCTGCCCCACAACACTTCTACTTGTAGTAGTCTATAACATCATTTAGCACCATTTTCATCCTTGCCACTTTGATTCATGATGTTGACTTTTTTTAAGGTAATTGGTAAAAGTTCAATCTAGCATTAGGTACATATGCCTCTTTTGGAACAGAAAAAGGAGTATACAACAGAAGCAGGGAAACAAAACACATAAACGAATTAGAGAATAATACCATGGTGGGAAGATATGAATTATGTTTCCAACCAGAAGATCCACATTGTCACATATCTTTGGACTGAAGATAATGGTCCTCCTAGTTCTGCTTTCATCTATGGTGCTGTCTGCTGAGGCATTACTTATAGCAGTATCCTGCATGAACATAAGTTCCATGAGAACATCACTGTTGCAGAATGCTGGTAAAACATCGTTTATGTTCACATAAGAGTCAGTTCATTAGAAATTTGTCTAATGGCTACAACAAAGGATACCTTTTGTCTAGTCATCTAGATGCAGCAGAATAACTTTCAATTTTAGTTTGTAGCATTGCATAATTGGTCAATTCAGACATTACTTTTCTAAAGAGCATACTGTTCTGGTTAAGAAAGTGATAGACAATCATCTTGAAACATTTTTTTCCCAAAATGTTTGTTCAACTTAGCAGCATGAGAAGCAAAATATTATTTAATTTAAGAAGATTACTGCCACATGAGTAGATAGGAGTTTTTCGAAGATGGAGGCATGGAGCACAGACATTGCTCTTTTCCTGGAACATGCAGCTGCAGACTGTTAGCTTTCCTTCCAATGATCTTGACATGATCTGAACAGTAGTGCCCTTTAAATCACCTACGAATTTGAACTGTCAATATCTCTGAAATCCATGTATACAAACAGACTATGCCTAATCCAAAGCATATAAGTGGTACCAACTACCGACTGCTACTAACAGCACCACCTGAATAACCTTGCTCTCTGCTATACCGTCTCAAGAACTCCGCATGCCAATCTTTCTCCATCTGCATAATCTGTTGCATTCTTCCATAGTTACCAGCTCTGCCACAGAGCAAGACCAATAAATACTCAGAATTCCAGTGCAAATGATCATTTCAATAAGATTTGGCAAGAATTCAAGATTATTATACCCTGTTGATCTCATTGAATTCATGGCACCATCCATGTTTGTTGGATTGAAAACTTCTTGGAATAGGTCAGCCATAGTTTGCTGGTTCTCATCTTTGTTCACCAAACTCAAGTGGTTTTGAGTAGCATCCTATTCCAGGATAAAAGAAAAATATGTTTGAGTATCTCAATTTTCAAATGAACAACGACTAATATAAAGTGTTTATGTTACCATACTTCCTCCTCGCTAGATGTTCCGTCAATTACATGCTCCAAGGGGTCCTCACTGTCAATACTCTTGTCTCCTAGAATAGCTAGTGTTTTCTTCTCGGAAGAAAGGAGTTTTGGCTTCCAATGTTTAGTTCTGGTGTGTTGATGTGACTGCAATAAAATTTACAATATTCAGAGGCAAGCTAATTCTTGTCTGAGAACCCCAAATCATGAAATAACACCACAAGAAACACACTAAAGATGTTGTCTCGACATAAGACTCAAAATTCAAAATTGCACATGATGGCTGTGTCAAACTAAAAACCTAAGTCCAAGAACATTTAATTCAAGCTCATATCTGCAAATGAGATTTGTCAATAAATAATTCACTAACTAAAGAGAGCATACTTGACAGTTTCTAACATAGTATACGAAAACCATCAATCCTGTAAGACCATACCCCTTTTGCCAATTGGAAACAAGCACTGTATGCTATGATGAACACACAATTGCAAGTGATTTGTATGAACTACTCTAGTAGTTACGATATTCTCTGAACTAAGAATCAAAAGACATGAACTTGCAGCAGCGAGAAACCAACCTGGGTAACGCCTACGCCGGGTAAAGTGTGCGAGAAGCGCGCAATGAGGTCAGCCGCGAGGGGCGCGCCGCCGTAGTTCACCGCCAAGAGCGTGGCCACGTGGGCGGCAGCGCCCGCGTCCGCTTCCTCGGCGGTTCGCACGATGGCCAGCAGCGCCGGCGGCGCCAGCGCGAGGCGCGTGACGCCGAACCTGCCCATCGCAGATAGCACCGCGGCGGTGTCGAACCTGCCCCTGGTTGTGTGCAGCACGCCAGCACTAGCGTCGGTGTCGGCGCCGGCGCCTCCACCTCATGGCGCGCTTGGATCTAGGTTTCATGGCCCCCATCCTCTCCTGCCTCCTCTTGCTCCACCATGGACGAACGCCGAGGGCGGCGCCCAAGCGGAGTACGGCGAGGAGAAGGGCGACGCCCGAGCGGATGATGGCGAGGAGGAACGAGGGGTAGGGGTGGCCCGTTGCCCTGCGCCCGGCCTCCTCCCATCGGCGGCGGCGGCGGCTCGCAGGACGGCGGCGGTGGAACCCTAGAAGAAGTAAACGACATATTCATTTAACTAACTATACTAATTGTATTATCCATCCTAACTATATTACTCAAAACATTATTTTTGCATTTATAGAGTTACCGTTTTACCCTTTATCAAAAAAAACTACGAGAATGGAATTACCGCCCAGTCCTAATCCCCACATTTGCGGAGGCAATGGAAGGCGATATTTGTGCATATGGCCCACCGATCATAGACACAGCAATCGCCTCCCGTTGCCTCCGTCCCATTGCCTCCCGTTGCCTCCTACCTTTGTTGCCGTCGGATTGGCCGCTCTCGGTCGATGTCAGCCATCGAATTTTTCCCCAATTATTTTAAAAAATTTCTATATTTATATATAATTGTTTTGTTGTGGTTTACATACTCTGAATCTATGCTTCTGATTCCAGTTGCACAATGCCCTTAAATCTGGGTTGTAAACATTTTTAGTTCATGCATATGTAATATGGCACATTGTAAAACGCACCTACATGTGCAAAGTATTCTTTTTTTGTTTGCCATGAAACGGTATTAACATTACTGGATTTGTTGAGCTATAATATAAGAAAACTACCTATCAAAGTCATTCCTTAAATACTACTTCCTCCGTTCCAAATTATTAAAAGACATTTTAGTTTTTTCTAGATACATTCTTGGTACCATGTATCTAGACATAATATATATCTAAGTACATAGCAAAAGCTATGTATTTAGAGAAACCAAAACATCATAATTTGGAATGGAGAGACTAATTCTAGATCAAATATAGGCATCGGCATATATATTTGAAGATGGTAAACTGCAAACTACATAAAAAGGTAAACATAGTATTTAGAGCCACCAACAATTGATACCAATCACGTATAAACCAAATAACTTACACTATTAACAGGTCACACACGAAGCTAGCACCGCAAAATGATTAAAAATCTGAATCTGAATAATATTAACTAATAAACTCAATGATATACTCTCTCTGTTTCAAATTATAAGACGTTTTGGCCGTTTCTAGATACATTATTTTTATTATGCATTTGGACATAGTGTATATTTAAGTGTATAGCAAAAATCATATATTTAGAAAAGCCAAAGTGACTTGTAATTTAGAACAAAGAGAGTAGCTTGTACTTTGAGTTTTCAGTCCAAGATCATGTCAGTGGGAAGTGGGAATATGGGCGAGGATGGGGATGGGCAAAAACTTTAAAAGTTTGAATGGACCATCTATCATGGAGAATTTGGGGTAACAATATTTTACCTTTCTCCAAATGATTTACTATGCTATCACCATCTTTGGCCAGTTTGTGGGAGTTTACTTTCACAATTCAAAATTATCCAGCGTGCTTTTATGAATAAAAAAGTCCATTTTAAATGACATAACCAATGATGGTTTTAAGAGAAGTGAAATGGTGCATGATAGGCAAAACCTACCTAGAACATTTATATGCGCGATCATTTTTAGCGGCCATTTGGTTGTGCAACTCGCAATATACTTGATTCACAGCTAAGCTTGTTAGCCGATGGCCTCGTTATGGTTGTTACCAATGTTGTTGTTTATATAATGAAAAGAAAGAAATGTGAAGCAATTTATATACATGAAAACATAGTTAAGATTGTAATTTGCTTTAAAAGTTGACGACTTCTCTCGGTTTTTAACGTTGGGGGTGTTCGCTGCAGCCGCAATAAGTATTTATTTAATGGCTACAAATCTCTGTAACTTCAACTGAACGCAGCATCAGCGGTTGAAAGCTGTAGCGAACGGGACCGTTCTTGTTTGTGGTTCCCGCGGAAGACAACATCTCACAACTACTTGGAAAAAGGGCATGTTCGTTTAACGGCTTATCAGTTAGAATCTATAGTATTTTTCTTTCACAACAAAACAGCTTTAGCCAATTTATCAGCCGACTTATCAACTAGCAGATACGCTATCTGCACGTTTCGTTTGTGATAAAGGTGTCAGATGGTGCTGCAGACACGCATAGCACTACGTGCAGCCACAACTGTTGTAGCCATAGACGCAAGAATTAGTGTCTCAGTGTTACTGGGAATAAAGGGACTTGTTAGAATTAGTCTCTCTGTGTGAGTAAAGGGACTTGTTAAAATTCAGGTGCCTAGAATTTTAGATTTTTCCAAGTGACGTTTATTGTAAATATTTTATGTTAAAATTATAGTTTTTGCTCTTTACAATTTATGTAGACATAATCTATAATTTTTTGTTCGAAGAATAAAAACCCGTTAGATAAAATCACAAACCTAACAAAATCCGATCTTTGTTGGTACAAAAACAATTAATAATTTATAATTATATCTATTGTAAGACAATTACAAAAATTAAATATTTTATAACACAAAAACAATTAACAAACCATCACAAACTTTACAACAGATAATCCATACCGGCCGGGCGCCTAATACGTACATACGTAGCTGTGTGTTCTCATACACCTGCCGTCGTTTTCTTATACGAACTGGTGGATGCGTGTGCCGTGTATGCATACCTGTGGTCTGGAATACGTTTGCTGCCTCGCTGGGGACGGACGGACCGTGGCGCATGCATGGAGCACGTGTGAAACCGTCGCCTGAATCCTAATCGTTTTCTCAGGCATCTGAAGCGTAGGAATCGTGATAAATTATATAGGTTATTATTTTCGATAAGTTTGACATAACAGTAAAGCTAACAAACAACATATATATGTATATTTTTGATCGAATTTAAAAGCTTAAACTGGATATACACTCTCGAGTATGTGGTGCACGAGAAGTATTGTGCTTACACCAGCGTCATTTGAACAACGTTAACATACTATAATACAAATTTATTTAATCAAGTATATATACATATATATACATATATATATATATACATATATATATATATACATATATATATATATATATGCCTTCAAATATGAAAGCAACTTAACAGAAAATAATGGGTAGTTTTTCGAAATCAATTTCCTTGTCCAAGTCTCCAAGATAGGAAGCGGAACAATGTTTTCAACTCGTCTAGTCGAACCTAGTCGCCATGAAACCGACCAGAAAACTAATCGCGATTAGTGGTCGACCAGGCCGATTAGTCAAACCTAGTCCTATATATCAGGATATATATACCTACTATATATATACCTATATATACTATATAGTATACACAATAAAGCAAGCATCAAGACTATATTAGTGTTTAGCTGGTGACTTACTTGTGGGAGTTGTTTTCTTCTCTTTTCTGCCATGTCCATAGGTCCATATTCCGGTCCTAAACTTCATTTCTTTATTGACTTGCTGCCGGAAGCCTAAAATACCAAAGAAGACCATAATTAGCAACATTAATATAGTCTTGATCTTGACATAGCTCAACAGCAGCACTGTTGCTGCATTAGCAAGCACTGCTGCAGTAGCAAATAACTAGCATTTAGCAAACAAGTTCAGTACACATAAGCTAAAGTGTTCAAGTTCAGTACACAAAAGCTAAACTGCTAAAGTGTTCAATACAGAGTCACAAATATTGACATTTAACAGTCCAACAAAAATAGACAACTAGCCATCTAATTAAGCAAATCAATATTAAAAGTGAAGCCTCCATCTCCATCTCCAGTTGGTCCATCTCCAGTTTCAGTTGGTGCAGATTCTTCATCCTCCTCCATTGCTATTGCTGAATCTACATGCTGATCTTGGTCTTCATCATCAACTTCATCAATATCTTGAGTCACTGTGTCCCTTGGACGCTTTCTGTTCCTAGCATAAGTACACCTCACAGGGGCAGCAACAGCAGCACGAGTAGCAGCAGCCCTAGGCAAGTTACGTTCCTCTAGACCCTGAGTTGCACCAATAGCCTCATCCACAACAGCCCAAGTCATAGTATCGCCACCACCTTTCTGAACTGGTTCTGGTTCACAATTTTCATTGACTCATTTATTTTTCCAATGAAATTCATCGAGCAAGAGTGGATTGCATATCTTTCCTTTAGAATCCAGCTCTCTAATTTTTTTAAATCTATTTTCCATCTTGCGGTTGTAACTGACATATACCAACTTATTTAACCTTTGGTGCTAAGGGTGCCTAGCTCAAACGGTTAGGTGGCCCAGCGGCACTCCTTAGGTCATGGGTTCAACTCCCCGTGGGAGCGAATTTTAGGTTGAGGTTAAAAAAATCCCCTCGTCCATTCCCATAACCAAAGCACTGGGAGGGCACCGGCCCAATTCTCACTTGGGCGACAGAAAGCCACCGTGTAAGGGTGGGGGCGGGGGTTCGGGGGTTTTCTCGGCCGAGTGATGAAGCGACCTGATTTCCGCGAAGGGAAATCCAAAGAGTCGAAGTGTAATAAGACCGTTGTAGATCATATTACCCAAATTCCAGTCGAATATCACATCCATATAACGATAATATCATAATACAAATATTGCGGAATTACATAAATTATTACATCGCCGCATTGGCGGAATCATAAGTAGCATTCATCCAGAATAGCTTGAAGATAAGATCTCCAAACTTGAGCGTAGGAACGAAACCCTCAACCACCAAACTCCTCGGAGCTATACTCCTCAGCAGAATCTGTCTGCCAAAATTTAGCAATACGATTTGTACTGGCCACTCCCACCCTATGAGCATTGCTTTGTGGAAATTAGATGCAAGTTGGATATAATCAAAAGGAACCTATAAGGCTGAGATTTCCTATGTATTATCATATCAAGTGCATAATAATAGTTGGTCAAGTTTTAACACCATTCACACCCTCATTCCACCCTATTTCCATCTAGAGCCAGGTTTCGATCCTGGGATCGATATACCAACATCTCCACACCATCACCATACCACAACCATACCCTCACTCAGTCGACAGGCCAACTCCCTCTCGGCACTGTCTCAAGGCCCGTAGCCCCTGGCTACGTCCAAACACTCACTCCCAGGGGGAGAAGAAAAGGACTCATCTCACTATCTAGTTTAAGCGAAACGCAGGAAAGGTCCATAGCCGACAAGTCGGCACATGTATCGATCGATCAACCATACACTCTGCAGATGTTTTACATAACCACAAGATCCGCCTTCCTCGTTGACCGTCGTCAACTAGGCTGATTCCGGCCGCTTGCTAGCCTAGGATAATGCTACTCTACCATTCAGCCCTGGTACACCCCAAGTCTAGTCTGGGGTGGCTAAAACTGTGAGTCATAAGCCGGGTCCACAAGGTCTCCATGAAGTCTCGGAAGGGTGTGGGGGAAATCCTCCACGCCCCGTACCTCCCTCACACTGTCCGCTATCAACCTAGCAGTAGTGGCAATATCCTACCCAGTAGTCCGGCCGTCCCGCACCATATAGGGAGAGTGGTACGTAAGGCTTCCTGGTGAATCTGAGTACTAATAAGTCCTTAGGGATGACTAAGCCAGAATGTCTTCATCAGGGTTTCCATTTACCGTGCCACCACAGCACCTCCACCCTGGGCTCCTCCCATCACAGGTTCACACCCAGGGCCACCTCATATATCATTTACCCACCACAGGTATCCATTCCAGGGGTGCCTAGGTAGCACCCCACAGCAAGACTTGCCCCAGGCTCATCGTATACTCCAACTTGGTCGACAAAACCCTCACCCTCCACGCACCCAAGTCACACACGCAGCACTCTCCCCATAGTTCAGATAACACCAGTTTCCACCACGCATTAATGTAGTGCAAGCGTAGTGGAAGTAATAAGCAATGAAATATAATAGCAAGTGTGTGACTAGCCTAACACCAAGGTGAGCAGGGGTAAGGTTGCGTCAAGGTAAAGGCCATCAAGAAAGCATACTATCATGCAAGTCCTATCATAGTGTGATTATAACAACAAAGTAAAGCAATAGCAGTTCTATATTAGCCATGCGTAATAGGTGCTACGAGGTTGGGGGGATGTGGCACCTTTAGTGTAGTCATCTTCGTACTCCTCACGGTACTCTCGGTCCTCGTCCGTCTGGTTCTCCTTTGAGTCTGCAAACAATCACATTATAGTCGCATTAGCGACGTCTATAGAATAGCACAAAGAAGCAATGAAAATTCAAAAGAGCTAAATGCACTCAAACATGGGTTCATTGCGTAGAGCTTGATTTTAGGTGAATTTTGGTCCTAGTTTCATATTTTTCTGAGGTCGTATGAATTAGTTATGAATTTCCGAAGATTAAATCATCTCTGAAAATGGAAAAAGGCTGAATTAATCCTGGGCTGACACGTGTCACGCTGTGACTGGTCCACGTGGCATGCTGACGTCGGCATGACGTTAGCATGACATCATCGGCTCGACTCTGAGCTGACAAGTGGGGGTTTTGCTGACGTCAGCATGACGTCATCAACGTCATCCGTTTCGATTGGTGGGACCAGGGGCTCTTGGGTCGCTGACATGTGGGTCCGGTCAAAGTCAACATCAAGTCAACGGGTGAGTCAACGGTCAACGGGTCACATTCACTGACGTGTGGGGCCAGGGCTGCTGATGTCAGCAGCTGACATCACCGTGATGTCATCATGACATCACCTCGGCTGTGTTGCTACTGACAGGTGGGACCTGCGTGACGTTAGCATGACGTCACTTACTGACATGTGGGTCCCGAGCCTCTGTGTCGCTAACATGTGGGGCTAGGTCAACCGTCAACGTGGACCGGTCAACGGTCAACTCGGACTGGGTCTCAAACGGGCTCGGGTTGGGCCGGTCTGGGCCGGGCCGGCCCGAACACGTGTCATGCTGTGGCGCTGCCATGTCGTTGCCATGGGCCTCCACTGGGCTTTGTCCACAGCTCGACCCACACTGTGTGGTTCACGGTGGATTGGCGTTCACGGTCCATGGACCGTAGGCTGGGTCTTCGGTGGACCGAGTCTATGCTTCTTCCCTCTGGCCTGGTCCATGTACACCGGGTGCAGGCGTGTGCGGCTGACGAGGGAATCCTCTGCTTCCTTCCCCGGCGTGCTCCCGCCGGTGATGTGCTCTCCAGCGAGCTCTTATGGCGGCGCTGGTGTCCAATTGAGGTGGGGAAAAGCTTCACTAGGCCTCGACGAACACGATGGCGGGGTCTAGATGGTGGCCAGGGCTTCCCAGGGCGTTTGTCGAGGTGGTCGGCGGCTAGGTTGTGGCGGTGCTCGCCGGCGGGGCAGCTAGGGCTGTTCTAGGGGTCCTGGTGCCTCGTTCCCGTTCAGACGGCTAGCGGGCGACAGGGTGAAGTGCCGACAGCGAACAAAAGGCGTGGCGGAGTCCACGAGCGGTGGTGGTGCACGGTGGAGCTCCGGCCGAGGTCCGGTGCTCGTGGCCAGGGTGTTATGGCCGGCTATTGGGGTCTCGGTCTACGCGGCTAACCTCCAGGCATCACAGTGGTGCTATGACTACGTCCTAGTCCGGCGAGGCAGCCGGGTGCACTAGTGGTGGCCGCTGTCATAGAACCGACCAATTTATAAGAGCACAAGTACAAAAACAATCGCCGAAACGATCAAATTCTCGAACTTGAGCCCATATAAACCCGGTAGTCAACTGAAATCTCGTAGGATTTCAAACCAACTTGCATACAACCAAGATCACAGTAATTCAACATAACATATCGTACGTTACAACATTTCGCAGACGTTCGCAAATAGATTACATTATCACAGAGTCATCGTTATTACAAAACAAGTCTTGTAAAACATGCGGAAGCAAATAGTTTAACTCACACACTCGAGTTCAAATACACATACTGGTTCACCGATCACAGCCAACAAAAGCATTCAGATAAGAGAACAGAGATCATGCCCATGATCTAGTCTTCATCACCCACCGGGTGGAGACAATACTTGCAGAATCCCTGATATAGAAGGTCATCTACAACAAGAGGGAATAAACCCTGAGTACGGGAATGTACTCAGCTAGACTTACCCCCCAGAAACCAAAACAAATGACACCAAGGATTATGCATAGCTTAAGGTAGTGGATCTGGCTGACACTTTCTTTTTGTAGAAAAGCATAAGTAATAATGATTAACTCTTAACCTGAACTAGCAGTGACTTTTTAGCCATTAACCTGTCAACTATATTAGCACCTGTACTAAGCAATCATTTTATTAGGGTGCAAACATTAATAACCATATCAGGTATTCATTGTGGCAACCTTATCATCATCATCCATTTAACCATATCGTTAAATTAATTGAATCTCGTTGTCATTTGCTCACCAAGTTCTCACTATCCGGAGAGAGACGGCGATTCAATCGATTCCTATCCAGTTGGAGGGGTATTCCTAAACACAAACCCCGCTTCTCCGTCAAAGTCGCAAACAAGTCACCTTTAGTACGATTTAGGAGTCATGCGAGTCCGATCGGATCGACATTCTCGGAGAACCACTCGCCAAGGTTGTTCGGGACTCTAACCCGCCTTGGACTTATGCCAATGGCTCTCCGCACATCCTTACTACCTCCGAATGCCGCCATTGCTCGCGTCCCGGCCTGAGTCGAGCTACTAGGCTTCATGGGTCGGAACGACTTATCCGCCCGACTAAGTGTTAGGTTGCGTTCAACATGACATGAGGACGTCTGAACAGTATCGGTCCTTAAACGACTCGAGATGGAGTCACTATGTTCAAACGTACACAAGACTCTTGCCGGTCTTAATTCATTAATCACATGGTTCTTTTCCACGATAGCAAATATAGCCAACCGTGATCCACCTCATCCTAAAGCTCGCAGGTGACAGGAAATCACCTGACTTCTACCGCACTAAACATGGCTAAGCATTTAACCCGTTCCTAAACTTAAATAGGATTCTAGTGCGATATCTGGACAAGGAAAGATATATAATGCAGCAATTAGTTTCAACCAATTCCTATACTTAATGCATCATCAACAATAAAAGGTACTCAAAGTATTTGTAAAAACATG